AAGACAGCCAACACATCTGACTCAGTTACACCAATTCTGTCAGGATAAATGGGTTAAAAACCTGCAAACTATTGTGAGAAGCTTGAAGGATACCCAACACATTTGACCAAAGTTATACTTTTTAAAAGCAAAGCTAAAAAATACCAAGGAAATGTGTGTACACTTTTGACTGTCTAGAAATTAATTAAAAATCCTTAAATAAAAAAAAAGCAAATCTAAATGATTTAGGTAATCCTAACGAACCTAAAATAGCAAACGTTTAGGATGATTTAACATCAGACATTTAAAAAAATGATTATGTTCCTTCTTTTAGAGTGTATGTAAAGTTCTGGTTTCAACTGTATGTTTTGTATGTTTATGTACCTGCATAGTGGATGCCCTTCCAGCCACAAAAATACCAACTGGTCCAGTTGCGACTCATACCAGAGACCTTCCTGCTGTGAGGCCGCCGTGTCGCCACTGTATAATTTCTAATGCTAAAAGTACCTGCATATGTGTAAAAAAATGAGCAAGCTCTTTTAAAAATAAAGGTAAAAGGTTTTGTAAAGGTACACTATTGTACCCCTAAGGTCCATATTAATACCTAAAAAGTACAAATGTTTACCTTGAAATAAGCTTAAAGTACAACAGTGTACCCCAAAGGTATACAAAATTGTAATTTAAGGACCTGTACCAATGTGTAAAAACCGTCCCAGTTTTAGTACTTTATTTCTGAGAAGTCAAACTGATGAAGACAATGATATATTTCAATTATCTAACCCATCTAGTCCAAAATATATTGTGGGCGTCATGGTGGCACAGTGGGTAGCATGATCGCCTTACAGCAAGAAGGTCACTGGTTTGAGCCCCAGCTGGGTCAGTTGACATTTCTGTGTGGAGGTTCTGCCCATGTTGGCGTGTTTCCTCCTGGTGCTCCGGTTTTACCCACAGTCCAAAGACATGCGCTATAGGGGAACTGAAGTACTGGTTCTAGTGTATGTGTATGAATGCAAGAGTGTATGGGGAATTCCCTGTGTTGGGTTGTGACTGGAAGTCCATCCACTGCGTAAAACATTAGCTGAAGAAGTTGGTGGTTTATTCTGCTGTGGTGACCCCAGGTTGGAAAGGGATTAAACCCAAAAGAAAATGAATGAATGAAAATATATTGTGTTCAATTTGGGGGAAAAGTTGTTTTATAAACCCAAATATTAAAATAAAATATTTTAGAGCAGTAATCATAATACTGTGAAATTGTGTCATTTCTATCAAGGTTATCAGAATCTTGTACTTAGTCAACAGAATGTGTAAATTGGACCATAAGAATAAAGTGCCGAGAAAGGGGATATGTTATCATTAGTGCACATGCAAGGCTTAATCTGCTCAGTGATGGGTCTCCAGTTCCACCACGGTCCAGTCACCCTGTGGAGAACTGGCCTGACTGCTGGGCGAATAACTGCTGACGGACGCCACTGTGGCGGTGGAGCAATCGAAATGGGACATGATATGCGGCCACAGACTGCTTTCCAGAGGGCTTAGAATGCCCCCACCCTGCCCCGGCAGATACAGAAGCGGTGGACAACCATCATCCCCAGCCAGAAGTAGAGCCTGGTTGATCAGCTGCTGGACCATGTCTAGTTTAGTGTTCCAATCTAGATCCTGTGGAGCTGGTCGGCGGAGATTTCCATTGGCAGCTCTTAGGGGTAAGTCTACAGGAACGGAAGTGTTCGGAGAACTCTGGTTGCCCGTGGAGCGGTCCTCTTCTTCATCACTGGTCTCCATTGCTTCATATATGGTGCATAGTCCCGATGAGGGTGAGAGGAGACTCTGTGTTTGGCCTTTTACCTGCGCTCGGAGTCTTTGTTGTTGCTCCATCTCTAGCTGGCGCTGCAGGAGCTGCCGACGGAGCCGGTGTTCCTGCTGCTGCTGCTGGAGCTGCAGTTGAAGCAACTCTCGACGTTGCTTTTCTAGCGCTCTTTGCTGCTCCTGCCGTTGTTTTTCCTCTTCTAGGCACAGTCGCTGGAGCCGTTCCTGCTCCTGGCGGTGCAGAATGTGCCGCAGCTGTATTTGCTGCTGCTCCAGGCGCCGCCGTTGCATGTTATTCAGCGGAGCGTCAGGAGGATGAATATCGATACGTGGCGGGAGTAGCGTTTGGGGATTCTGCAAAGGAGCGAGGTAGCTATTGTCATTGATCTCTTGGCTATGGTTGTTATTCTCCTGTTGGCTTAGAGAGTGCTGCTGGTGTTCACCAGTCTGAATGCTGATCCCAGGTTGCCCTGTGGACAAGTCAAGAGCACTTGCAATTTGCATTTACCAACAGAGGCATTGGTTTTATGAAGACAGGTGTGAACGGACAAGGCACACAGGACAAGAACAGACAGAAAGAGGAACATGCGGACAACAGAACAGACAAATCAAATAAAAAGATAGACGCAATCGTTGATGATGCCAGGATTTGAGTTTTCCCACACATCCTCCCTGTAAACACCTCAGATATAAACATCATGTGAGGAGTGTTCTGCATTTGAGGTAACAATTTTAATGGGTTGAAGACATCTTTTAGATTTTGTGTAATTTGTGGCAGCAATGAACTAATCCATAGGACTTAAACTCAAATCCTGGAGGGCCGCAGCTCTGCAGTTTTGCTCCTACCCTAATCAAACAGCGTATCTAGTGGTGTCTAGTAGTCTTGAACACCTTGATTAGTTGGATCAGCAGTGTTTTATTAGGGTTAGAGCAAAACTGTGCAGAGCTGCGGCCCTCCAGGAATTGAGTTTGAGACCTATGAACTAATCCAACAATGGGATGAATTGCATATGAGCTGATTTTTCGGAATTCTAACTGGGCTAAAAGTACAATTTAAGGGTGAATGATATAATCCTTCCATATTAAGTATGAGAATCGTCTAACTTTCCTTTAAATTTGGGGTCACCAATCTTGGTCCTGGAGGGCCGGTGTAGAGGTCTGCATTCCCGCGGCTGTCCCGCGGGCGCCGCAGGACCCGACCAGATTTCTGCGGCGCGGAAATAAATTTCCGGATAAATCGCGGGAGCGGTCGGTAATGGGTTTAATTTGGGACGGGAGCGGGCTGTCTAGCAATATCGTGGATATTGCTATGCGAATGAGAGAGAGAGAGAGAGAGAGCGCGAGCTTTGCCTGTGTGTGCTTGGTGCTTGTGTGTGTGTGTGTATGTTAGTGCGCGCGCGCGAATGAGAGAGAGAGAGAGAGAGAGAGAGAGAGAGAGAGAGAGAGAGAGAGAGAGAGAGAGAGAGAGAGAGAGCTTTCCCAGATAGCAAAATACACTCGGGCCAGTTCCGGCTAGATTCTCGCCTGCCGGAGACTTACCACTCAGCCCGGCTCGGGCTGCCGGACTCCGTATGCTTGTGGACTCACTGCCCGATTCCGGCCCAAATTAATTGGGCCAGATGCGGCGGCCGTAAGCGAGCGAGTAATGTGCACTGCGGCCCGGAGCTGGCGCGACTCAGTATTTATATACCTTTATATAAAACCTTTTGGTATTACATTGGTACTTGATACATGGTATTACAAGCCTTTGAGTTGATATAACAGCAAACGCCTGTGTGTCTGCTTGGTGCTTGTGTGTGTGTGTTAGTGCGCGCGCGCGTATGAAATAGAGAGAGAGAGATTTGTCTGTGTGTGTGTGCTTGGTGCTGTGTGTGTGTGTGTGTGTTTATACAGACAGCTTGGCTGTCTGGACTGTATAGCTGGGGGATTTTCGGTTTTGTTATCCGCCGCTCTTTAGCGGGATCGCGCGCGGCGGACAGAGAACGGGGCGGGTCGGGCAGCGGGACAATAAATTCTCAATATCCCGCGATCGGGTTCGGGCTAAAACCTGGCGGGTGCGGGTGGGAGCGGGATTCAAAATTTAGTCCCGCGCAGATCTCTAGGCCGGTGTCCCTGCAGAGTTTAGCTCCAACTTGCCTCAACACACCTGCCTGGATGTTTCAAGTATACCTAGTTAGACCTTGATCAGCTTGTTCGGGTGTGTTTGATTAAGGTTGGAGCTAAAATCTGCAGGACACCGGCCTTCCAGGAACAAGTCTGGTGACCCTTGCTTTAAATAAAGGGTTTGCGCGACTTTGGAGCGAACAAAACATTCATTCTTTCAAAATATGCATAGATTTTCCAATAAACAGGAGCTAAACTGATAATCTTGTACACCGTAGAGGATAACCTGCTTTTCATTTAATTCACTTCCAGATGGTTTTGATGTAAATGTTTATGATAGGTGGATGAATATAAAACAAAAACCAAGTGAACAGAAGACAAGTAAGATAGATACTGAGAGGTGATAGAGGAGCATGAAGAAGAGTCCCTGATGGGACAAATTTTACCATTCAGGCAGGATTAAGAATGTTTGTGTTGCATTAAATGTATAATGAATTACATCCTAAATGAAAACAGGCATTTCTTAAAATCCATAACACCATCCCTGCAGGCACAAGACGGTTGTACCCCAATGTACCCCGACGTTTGGAAATGAAAATCAGGTTGACATCAGAACCGAACGTTTGACCAACGTCAATGTCCAACCTAAAATCAACCAGATATCAACGTCTAATCATGTTACACCTTGAAGTTGTGTGGACGTTATCACTATGACATCTATCGATCATTGGATTTTGGTGACTTTTCAAACATGATGTTGTTATTGGACGTCAAAATAACATTGCCCTAAGACGTAGGCTAGACATTGAATTTTGGTCACCTCACGTCACGACCTAAATCTAACCTAATATTAAAGTCTTATGATGTTGTGTGCCTGCTGGGATGCAATGTTACTGATGAGTTTAGTCTTTCAGAACGAGGTCCTGTTCGAAGTTAGGGATGCATGACATGATATAGAAGAGGGTCATCATAAACCAGGGATGATCATTGTTATTTCATCAAAATACATCTGGAATCAACACAATTTCAGTAGATATGCATTTCTTGTTCAAAATCAAATTCCACAGGAGCACAAATGCAACTCAAAATAAATAAAAAACAAACAAACGGGAATAGACAGCCTTGCAATGATGTTTAATGGAGTTTTGGGGGAAAAAAGTTTCAATTATTGTGAATCATTAAATACCAAACATCCCTGGATCATGTCTGGAATCATATCAAGATTATAACAATTTCTCAGTTAGTTGCACATGCAGTTCCAATTCTTGTAGAAATGTCCCAATACTCGCAGTACACTGGCCTGCGAGCATCGTTTTAAGAAATGCAGGAAAGCACTTTAATTTCCATGAACAGAAATAGTTAGTCCGTTCCAAAGTACAAATGTCCATCTACTGTAAATGAAAGAATCAAGATCAATCTGAGCCCAGTACTTTAAAACACTTAAGTTACGTGCCAATGAGAATATGTTAGCCTTCACAAAAATGCGCAGCGGTAGCCCAAAAACAAAACACAAAGAAAAATGAAGTATGACTTGCCATCTAACACCCATTCACCTTCCTATGTCAAACACTGTGAGAGTGAAACGCTTCTGAAGAATATCTAACCTGTAATTAATGCTAAAGCAGTTAGTGCTGGATCATTTTAAAAAGACAGTAAAGCTACTTTTACAGTGCAGGAAAACTGATGTGTGTACAAACATTAAGGTAAGACAGGGATCTCAAAAACAAAACAAACAAAACCAAGGAAAAAAAAAACAAAGTATAAAAAAATTGACATTTGATTGGTAAAAACAGTAGGATAAATACAAAGGTAGTTGAAATCCACCAAGTGTGTTGATTTTTATTTATTTTTTTGTATTTTCGTCCTTTCACTATAGGACATCACCTTAACTTAATCTAACATTGCAGGTTCAGGGGTGCCATGAAACGCAGTGTTATTTAAAAAGTACATTCTAATAGAAAATGATAATAGCTACTGTACATACAGAAATTTAAGCCATACAATCATAACCATCACTGTGGTAATAGAAGAACAGAGAGCAGCTCGGACAAAGCTATAATCCCTCAATGACGGCTCCCCTTTCTCTCTTCTACTACGTATTTCTTTTAATTTCTCTTCTTGCTAACCCCACATTTGGAAGAAATGAAGGACACGGGGTGGGAGCGTGGGGTTTGGGGGTAGACAAGGTGCATTCCAAAGGAGGGACTTTATACGTTACCTGCTAGAAAGTTATCAGTCTTATCACATATAGCAGAGAAGTACGGTGGCTGGCCGTCTGTATCATCCCCATGTTGGGGCGACAGGTGCATGGGAGACTCAGGATCCATTTCCTCCATAGTGCCTGGATCTGTTTTACTGCAGAGCATGTAGTGCTCATCAAACCCAGCATCTCTCTCTGTTGCGGGCTCGCTGATAGGCAGCAAATCCACCGGGCAGCCTAACAAGTCATCACTGTAGGCGGTAGCAGCTGGCAAGGTGAGCTCCTTGATGAAAGACGGATCCTTTGCTTCCTCTGGAAGCTGCTCTTCGTTTTCCAGGCTAAAGATACCTGGACTCTTTCCACAACTTTCGGCCATGGAGTGGGCATTGGAGATGGAGGCAGAGCAGTCAAATCCGTAGGAGGCCACAGAGTTGGCTGATTGAGGAGTACCGCCATCTTCCTCTCCAATTTGTTCAGGCGCCTCCTCATCTTCATCAAGAGCGGAGAGGTTGTGTGGGACTGTCGTCTTATCATCAACTGCAACATCTGGATCGTTAATCTGCATTTCGCCCTCTGTATCACTGGCCTCATCACCAGAGGTTGATGGTGATGATGGAACCGAGGCTGGCGCAGTTGCCGCATCACCCAATATCTCGTCTGCTGGCAGTGTTTCTGCCTCCTCTTCCTCCCCATCACCACGCTCAAGGTGAATACCAAGATCTTGTTCCATGTCTGGTTGAATGGCAGGCACAGGCGTCTGCTGTTTGTCTGATCGGGACTCTACACCTGAGCTGCTGTCATAATCACGTAGCTCTTCGGGTGTGCTGGTTTCACTGCTGCTGTGGGCCGCCAGGGCTGTTCCACTGAGAGTGCTGGACTGGGACATCCCAATGGCAGGGGCAGCCAAGATCCCTGGCTCTGCTGGGACGGAGTATCCAGTCTCCGCCTGGGATTCAGGTTGAGGTTCTGAAGCCTGAATCAGGGGTGGAGCTGGGGATTTAGGTGGAGTATCTGGATCGGCTGCGAATGTGATGCTTGTTTCTGGAACAGCTGAGAATGTAGAGGTTGTGTCTGGATCTTGGAATCTTGTATCTGACAGGCTTGATTCAGACAGAAAGGAAGCAGGCTGGGCCAAGGAATCAGAGAATGGATTGGACTGACTCCATGCTGTGGTCGAAGGCATAGTTGTTGCTGGTGCATTGTGACCAGTGCTGCTAAAATCTAGACAGCGCTCTTCTGTGTAATTCTGATTTTCTTCTTCGTCTTCCTCATCATCATCATCATAATTTCCACACACCCCACTCTCAGCCATGCCTTTGTGGATCATCTCCACATCTTCATCCTCCTTCTCTTTCTCTTCTTGTTGTTTGTGATCCTCAGCATCATGCTCCAGGTCCATGTGTTCCTTCAAATCTTCCTCATCCTCTTCTTCATCTTCACTACCAAATGACTGGATTCCAGGAGGCCCTGTGAATGGCTTTTCCTCATCAGTCTCATTAATGGCAAAACCATGTGTCTCTTTAGCACTGCACTTGTCTTCAGCACTGAAGGGAGATGTCACTTCTGAGTCATGTTTGTTACTGCTAAACATGTCATCTGACTGCATCATGCCCCAATCAGAGCTAGCAAATCCTGTCACCCCCTTTTTAAAGTCATCGTCCTTCTCTGTTTGTGGCAATGGTTCCTCTATGCCAATCTCTCTGACCTCATCCTCCTCATCATCCTCTTCCTCCTCCTCCTCCTCATCATTGTCTTCATTAATCTCTTCTTCAGCTTTCTCCACTGCTTCTTCTCGTTCTTGCCAGGCAGAGACTGGAGCCTCGGGTCTAATGTGATCCCCACCAGCAGAGCCCAGCATTTCAAAACCTCCCATCGCTACCTTTGCTGCAGAGGACATTGCTATATCTTCCTGCTGTTTGTCATCATCTTCCTCACTTTCCTCATCTTGCTCCATGTCCTCTGTGGTTGCAGTGTGGGGGAACAGGGAAGAGCTTTGTGGCCATGTTTCAGCTGCACACTGCAAGTCCTGGAATGGAGATGAGCTTGGGATCTCAACTGGCATGGAAATTGGGCCAGTAGGAGAGGATGGTGGGGAGAGTATTGTGGTACCAAGGGGAGATTCAGCAGGCACTGGCTCCTCCTGGTCCACCTCAGCAGAAAATAGAGAGCTGGCATTGTTATCTTTATACGTGTCCATGCTCTGTGAGATATCCTGGGCATAGGTGAGCTCCACATCATCAGGGGTAGGAGAAATGACAGGTGTATCTGGGTCTTCAGGTTCCTCATCAAAGGCAGATTCAATGGTATTTTGTTCAGGTGCCTCATAAGAGGTATGGGTAGTTACCTCTTCAGGTATTTCTTTAGAAGCATGAACAGGTGAAACAGATTCTTCTCTTGCCTCATAAGAGGTAGGGGGAATTACAGATGTAGTTTCATGTTCAGGTGTTTCTTCAGAAGCATGAGGTATAACAGGGGAAACAGTTTCTTTTCTTGCATCGCAAGATGTGGGAGGAACGAAAGATGTAGTTACATGTTCGTGTGTTTCTTCAAAAGTAGGATTAATAACAGGTGAAACAGTTTCTTGTCTTTCCTCATAAGATGTAGGGGGGATCAAAGATACATTTTCATGTTCATATGTTTCTTCAAAAGTAGAAAGAATAACAGGTGAAACCGTTTCTTGTCTTTCCTCATAAGATGTAGGAGGAATTACAGATGTAGTTGTGTCTACAGGTATTTCTTCAGAGGTAAGAGTAAAGGCAGTTGAATCTTTTACTTCAGTTGCCTCAAAGGAAGTAGGGGGGATGACAGACATGGTTTTGTCCTTGGTTGTTTCTTCAGAGGCAGGATGAATATGAGGAAGGAAGGGACCAGTTTCTTCTGGTGTCTCATCAGAGGTTCTGTCTTCAATTTGTTCCTCAGATAAATAAGGCATAGGAGTTGCATCTTTGTCAGATTTATCCATAGTAGAAGGAATGACAGGTGTGGCCATTTCAACAGAATCTTTAGTCTCAGAGTAAGCGGGAATTGGAGTTGTAAATGAGTCTTCCAATTTCACCTCAGAGACAGCCACAGAAGACAGGTCTTCAGGCACCTTTTCAGGTCCCTCTGAGGCCACCACAGAAACAACAGCAGCAACTGCAGTAGTTGCTGCAACCACAGCGGGTACAATGTCTTTCTTTTCAGCCTCTTTTGCTGCTGTGTCTGCAGGCGCGGAGGCTTTTGGACCACCCTTCAATGACATTGGAGTGCTACTGCCAACAGTCTTCTTTGGGCTACTTGTTTTAGTGCTGGGCTTGGTGCCTGTGGTCTTGGGGCTTGCACTGACCTCCTTGGAGGGTGTTGCTTTGCTCTCCTTGGGTTTACTAGTTTTAACATCTGCTGCCTTGCTTGCGGTGCTGGGTTTTTTGGAAGCTGATTCTGCCTTGGCAGTCAGAGCTGATTTGGGGGTGTCTGGTTTGGCGGGCTTGGATGTTGCTGGCCGGGTAAGGGGAGAAGAAGTGGTCTTCTTAGGTGCTGGAGTAGATGACAGCTTACTGACATCTAAAAAAAAAAGAATAAAAAAATCAGTATCACAGCTTTAACTACACATTAACAATTAAAATCCTAAACATGATCATTTAAAATGTTGTTTAGCTGTATTTAATTAAAACAACACTTAAACATGCAAGATAAAAAGTAGTCAACCACATCTAAAATAATGATGTTCAATTTGTTTAACCTAATTGATGATAACAAAATGATTACATATGTTTATTACATTCAATGAGGTACCTACCTTTCTTGACAGGTGTTGTTGTCTTGGGAGTAGGAGTGCGGCCAGAAGGGGGTGCTGTGGTTTTAGCCGGAGAAGGTTTAGCAGTAGTAGATGGTGTCTTGGGTGTAGCAGTGGTTGGCCTGGATGTGGATGTAGGCGTCTTGGAAGCAGTTGTTGGGGTTGCAGGCTTAGGGGCAGCAGGTGAAGAACGGGCAGCAGGAACGGAGCCAACAGATCTGCAGATATAAGATTGAACAGAAGACTATGAGAAAGGTGGAATTTACTTAGCAGTCATTAAAGGGATAGTTCTGCCAAAAATGAAAATGTACTGACTAATTATTCGCCAAATCTTATACCTCGGTGTCTCTTATTATGTGTACAACAAACTGAAACAAGTAAATAGTGAGTAAATGATGACAGAATGTTCATGTTTGAGTGAACTATCCCTTAAAGGCACAATTTGCAGTAGGACACTAAAGGCTGATTAATACTTCTGCGTCAAACACCGGCGTATGCTACGGCGCTGACGCATAGCCCTTTGCCGTGGCCGTCAGCATCGCTGATGTGCACCTCTCAAAAAATGTAACTACACGTCGCAACAACGTGTAGCGCAAGCTCTGTGATTGATCGGCTTGGTAGCGCTGATGAGTCTGGGCGGGACCGAAAGCCGCGAGAATGGTGCGAGCGATTGTTTACAAGTGTGGAGTCCCGTGAAGGAGCTCCGGATGGAAAGTTTTGTTCTGTGTTTAACTCATGGTTAAAGTTGTTGCACGTCCGCTGGTTCTTGCCTCAAAATGAGCGAGTTTAAGCCACTTGTACATCCAGGAAGTGTTCAGGAAAAGCAAAACAGCAACGAAGAAACTCGACACAGAGGAACACTTACACCTTACTGCCCACTAGCATTTCGGAAGTGTTAATGTAGACCAACAGCGCGCAGAAGTATAAATGAACAGCTGCACGCGTTGCTTGCGCTGTGAGTTATGCCGGTCACTTGACGCAGAAGTATAAACCAGGCTTAAACTTAAAAGACTTGTTTCCTGGTCAGCTAGGACAAGCACTTCCTGTAGTTAAAAAACTAAATAATGGTCAGCAGCAGAAGCCTTGTGGTTAGCCTGCCAACATATACCTCCATGGTGCTAGTGGCAACCCAAGTTCAATTCCCGGCTCAAGGTCCTTTCCCAGTTTAGTTCTCCTATCTCTGTGCCCCATGATTATCCAAACATGTACAAACACTTAAAAATACAGTAAATATGGACATGCAATATGATGATATATATATCATATGGACTGGTGACACGGTGGCTCAGTGGTTAGCACTGTGGCCTCACAGCCAAAAAGGCGCTGGTTCGAGTCCCAGCTGGGCCAGTTGGCGTTTCTGTGTGGAGTTTGCATGTTCTCCTTGGATTTGCATGGGTTTCCTCTGGGTGCTTCGGTTTCCCCCACAGTCCAAACACATATGGTACAGGTGAATTGAGTAGGCTAAAATGTCTGTAGTGTTTGTGTATGTATGGATATTTCCCAGAGATGGGTTGCAGCTGGAAGGGCATCCGCTGCGAAAACATGTGCTGGATAAGTTGGAGGTTCATTCCACTGTAGTAACCCTAGATTAATAAAGGGACTAAGCCGAAAAGAAAATGAATGAATGAATGAATATGTTGGTTCTATTAGTTTTTGAAAAGTCTTTTGTCTTTCCATTTAGTCAATTTCTATTTTAATTTACAGAATAGGCATAAATCTTTATGAATGATGAATTATATATGAGATTTTTGTCTGAAAAGATCAAACTGAAAATTCAGACTCAAGTGTGTATGAGTAAAATCCTCTGCTGACATTTAAAGGGTTCTACCAAAAAGGAGTGACTCATAAGACAGGGTTGTCATTAGTCACAGAACATACGGCCTGAGGGATGTGGAAAAACAACCATGAGTAATGGTAATACTAGTAAAAATATTCTCTTCAAGAAAGCCCCTCCCCCTAGTTCTTTACCCATAATGCCTCTCTTCTATCCCGGGGTGCCTGACTCAGTGCTAATGCACATGTTGTGCCCTGACGGGGTCTAGTATCTGTCCAATTGGGTCTAACATGAGAGCGGCCTCGGCACTCGCCGGTGACTCAGTACTTGTTCAGGTCATGTCTAAGTAACCTAACCTAGATCCTGTGGGCCTGGCAGGAGCTTCTGTTTTCCTCTGTCTGCGCTCCAATGCATTTGTCTCTCCTTTTCTAAATAAAGAGCTGGAGAACATGAAACGGTGCATCACACAGAGAACACCATGTAAATCTTTTATTGTGGCGAGTAAAAATAACCATGCATATTACACTGAAGCATCGAGCTAAAAACACATGCACCGTTCTACATTTTGTACAGACAAAGTCCTCACAGAAACAGGGGTATTTTAGGAAACAAAAGGCGGCACCTGGAGGAAACCCACGCCAACACGGGGAGAACATGCAAACTCCACACAGAAATGCCAAGTGGTCCAGTCGGGACTCGAACCAGCGACCTTCTTGCAACAGTGCTAACCACTGAGCCACCCTTAGAAATGGCATTGAAATAAAAACGAATTTAAAATTCACTCACTCATTTCCTTTTCGGCTTAGTTCCTTTATTAACCAGGGGATGCTACATGAAATAACCCCTAACTTATCCAGCATATGTTTTTTTACAGAGTGGATGCCCTTCCAGCCGCAACCCAACACTGGGAAACACCCACACACTCTTGCATTCACACTCATACACTTAGCTCACCCAATTCCCCTATAGCCCAAGTGCTTGGACTGTAGGGGAAACCGGAGCTCCCAGAGGAAACCTATACAAACATGGGGAGAACATGCAAACTCCACACAGAAATGCCAACTGAACCTGCCGAGGCTCGAACCAGTGACCTTCCTGTTGCGAGGCGACATCGCTACCCACTGCGCCTAAATTTAATATGCAAAACGATCATATCTTTGCACAGGACACCCGAAGGTTTTACAAAATCCCGCTGTCCTACATCCAGAGTATCAGGTGAGAGAGAAAGCAATCTAACAGCGACGGTTCAGGAACAAAGAGGGCAAGTCTATAAACAGATAAACCCGACAGAGAAAACCACACATGAATTAATGCAGTGGTGTGTTGGAGCTCCTCGACCTAGTTTCACTTGACAAAAACACCTACTTAAGCGAACAGCCTGGATTAAGACATTCGTCTGTGAGCCCGCTTGATAATTATGCCTGCGTACAGTTCACAAAGAGTTTTTAAGTAGGAGAAGAAGTACAGCCAGAATTATTAGCCTCCCTGTATATTTTTTTTGTCCCCGATTTCTGTTTAATGGAGAGAAGTTTTTCTAAAACTCATTTCTAATCATAATAGTTTTAATAACTCATCTCTAATAACTGATTTATTTTATCTTTGTCATGATGACAGCACAGCATATTTGACTAGATATTCTTCAAGACACTTCTATACAGTGACATTTAAAGGCTTCACTAGGTAATTAGGGTAAAATTAGGGGAATTAGGCAAGTCATTGTATAACAGTGGTTTCTTCTGGAGACAATCTAAAACTAATATTGCTTAAGGGGGCTAATAAATTTGGCTTTTAAAAAAAATTAAAGCTGCTTTTATTTTAGTAGAAATAAAACAAATAAGACTTTCTCCAGAAGGAAAAAAAATATAGGACATATTGTGAAAAATTAATGAATCAGTTCAACATTATTTGGGAAATATTAAAGAATAAATAATAAATTAAAGAATAAATAAATAAAATTTACAGGAGGGCAAATAGATTTGACTTCTATAACTGTATATAGATGTCCATTATTACAGCGCATTATTGGATGATATGCGAGCAGTGTTGGGTAAATTATTTAAAAATACGTCATTAATTACTAATTATATCCTTAAAATTGTATTTAAATTATACTTTGTCTTGAAAAGTAACTAAATGACCCAACTTGATGCAATTTAAAATCTTTATAAATGTCAACGCATGTAACGACGGGAGGAGTGACAGAGACGACTGGAGGATCTACAATGCAGGTTTATTCAGCGTCAGGCAAGCAATGGTCAAATCAGGTGCAAACGGGTATAAACAGACAATCCAGAATCATAGTCGAATAACAGGCAAGGAGGTCAGAAGTAGGGATGGCTGACGTGAAACTGACGTTTCGACACAGTGTCGAGATCCCGAAGCGCAAGTGTTTCCAAACACTGTACCGAAGCATGATCCGAAGCACCTAAGTCATGTGACTAAAGTGTTTCGAAACACCTGGTCACGTGACTTAAGTGATTCAAAGCATTGATCAGCTTAGAAGCGTTTCGAGACCTGCCGAATCTCCATTTGGCTGCCAAGGTTGGATAATCTCGTCTCATATGGCCTAGTTGGCTGTGCGTGTGCACGATGTTACTATGCTTCAAATTACGTTTTGGGTTCGAATCTCGACTTCGACTCCGAAATCATGGTTTTATGTGTTTTTATCATGTTTCTGTTTTGTGTAGCCTAAATAGGATACAGCTGCAGTTACGCCATCAATATAGCATCATTTTTGTAACACTGTAAAACAATAATTAATATTTTTACAGTACTGTGATAGTTCGGTTCAGGGTTTGGGTAGACGTTAATGAAATACAATAAATGGGAAATTTTATGAATAATATAAATAATTCTTGATAACTTCAGGCCACAGTTTCCGATCTAGCAACAACCCTGTTTTAAGACCAAAACAAGACATATTTATTCACAAATTGTTTATTGGATGTCAGACCAATGTTGAAACTAAACGATACAAGAGCAAAGCATTACTAACTGGTATTAAAGCATTTCAAAATAGCAGTATTAGCCTGGATTCGAACTCACTAATCCCAGACACTAGTCAGACAGCTTAACCGTTCCGCTACATTATCTGAAGACCAAGCTTACAAAGTGGGCTTTAATACCTCAATTTGCTGAACTGTTCTGTGCTGCAGTGGTTTCAGTGCAATACATAAAAAATGACCACTAGGTGTCACTGTAGAGTGGGGTTTCACAACGTTTCGAAGCTTTGACACATTTGCTTCGACTGTTTGAGTGTTTCATGAAGCCTCGCTTTGCCCACCACTAGTCAGAAGGCAGGCGGCAAACAAGGACAAAAGGATAAGCTAAGATAAGGATCAAAAACACGGCAAAGGCAGACAAAGGAAACCGCGTTGTAATGTCACTATCAGTAAACAAGACTCTGCAAACTGGATGGGTGAATGTGTGGCTTAAGTAGAGAAT